CGAGGTACTCAATCAGGAACATTTGGCCCCCTAGAAATTTTTTTAACATTTATTTTTAAATTACAGTCGGCATACAATATTATATTAGTTTCAGGTATACAACATAGTGATTAGACATTTATATATTTTAGGAAGCGATCATGCCCAGGGCACTTTTGACAATGTCTGGAGGCAATTTTGATTGTCACACTTGGAAGGGGCTATTGGCATGTAGTTATTAGAGGCCAGAGATAAAATCATATTCCTTTTAATTCAATGTTTATTCAATGAAAGGATTGTAAAAATGTATACATCTGAGAATTCAACTGTACACGAAGTAGGATGATGGGATAGTCTGTTTTTAACACATCCATAGAACTTAGGCATTTGATATTCTCCTACTGTTTCCCCTTCAGTCTTATTTCTGGCTCCTATTGTCCCTTGAGACCTTTCTATTATTGGCCTAAGGGAAGATTAATGGACAATTTTTACTGCTTTCATGTCAATGGAAAAATTTTAGGGCTTAAGTCTTTTTTTTTTTAACTTGTGGGATGAACATCAAAATAAAGTTTTATCCCAAATAGCAGTTAGATTTTTTGGTCCCAATCCCTCTTTGCCATTTTATTGATTGAATGGATATTTTCAATAAACTTAGCATTACCTTTTAAAATCAGTAAAATTTTTATGCTCTTCTGTCCATAACTTCTCCTACGAGATGTATAGTCCCATACCCTTTTCTCTGCCTCTGGGTCAGCAAGAACTTGGTCCATTTGTTCGAGGCTTCTCCCTAACATGGGGTGTATAGTAGGTGCTCAATAAAAATCTGTTGCATGAATAGACTTTGCTTAATTTGGAGATTCTCAAATAGAGTTAATCAGGGATCTTTTTGACTTCCGCCAATTTTAAATGCAGGAGATTCACCAGGAAAAAGGGTCTCTAAAATCCTGACAGCTATGGTTCCTAAGTTCGCTTTCTTAATCCCAGCCAATCACTTCTGAATACACTGATAACACAGCATTAGCCTGAAAATCAAACAAAGCAAACTGTCCACAGTTGCCATCGTATGCACTGTTCCAGGCTGACCTCGAGGCCGCTCGGCTGGCCTGAATTATGTGTCCCTGTTGCCATTTGCCATTTTCCTGGAACTGGCTTTCTGCAAAGATTCCTCACAAACTACTCATGGTGCCTGGTGAATTTTCCCAGAGCATATTTTTCAGAAACGAGTGCGAGGCCCAGGCTTGGAGACGTGCTTGAGTCCTCAGGTTGTCCATCAGGGGATCGTGGTCTAGTCACAGCCACCAGGTAGCCCTTGCTTTCTCTGTGCCAGGTACAGCTTTATCAGTGTTTTCTCAGGTATCCACCTTAAAATAAGTAACCTCTATTTTTCTGGTGAACAGATCGCAGCTCAGAGGTGTCACATTATCTGCTCAGTGTCACACTTTTCGAAAGCAGCCGTGCTGGGATTAAAACACCATCCTCCCTGCTAGAAAGCCCATGTCTTGTCCTCTGTGCTCGCAGACAGAATAGGCACTGTCCTTTCATAATTGCACTTGAATACTTAGCACGGCTCGTCCTGGGAGCTAAATGGTCCATGTTGGGACCTTTAAGGTAACAAATGAGCCCATTAGTCCTCAGAAGGGCTCTTTGTGTACTGACCTTTGCTGCCGGTGGGTCAATCGATCCATCCATTTCCAAGGACACGGCTGAGTCCCATTTTCAGTTTGCCATACCTTTGCAGATTTATTCTGGCTCTGTTATCTCACGCTTGTCTCTCCAGAACCAAGTCATCTCAGGACATTTGGCGTCAAGTCATAGAAACCCACTCCAACTTGTTTGGCAAAGATGGGACTCAATTGAAAGCAGCCTGGCGCGTCCTGTAGGGGGTGTGGCCGGGCTAAGGAGAACCCAGGCCGGGAGATGCAAAGCAGCTGATCTTTCCATCTCTTTCTGTGTAGGGCTATTTCCTCCACGGCCCCTCTGCTTCATTCGTCTCTACTTGCAGACCAGCTTTCTCTCTGCACACGGCCTCTCTGTGGCTTTCAAGTTTATTGTATCCGGTTCAATAGCCAGTCCAAAATGATCATGGTTATTATTGCCCTAAGGCCATCAGACCCACTTTGGGAAAGAACCCAAGCAAGAACCCCTCCCATGGAGGGCAGGGCTTTAGCTTCACTGCTGTCTCCCAGAGGCTAGACCAATGCCTGGCATACAACAGGAACTCAGTACATATTTGTGGATGGACCCGGCTAGAGCAGCCGCACACACACCAGGCAGGGTTCCACATTGCAGTCACAGCCATGCTCCCACACAACCTTCTGCCTCATATCTGCTTACAGCGCCCCTTCATCAGAACTGTACCCAGTCTGAGAAAAGTGAAAATCGAAATCGAGAATAGGTAGAGCCCAGCACAGCCAATGATGCAAAGGCAATGGACACCTTCAGAGACTTCAGCTAAATTTAGGGTCAGAGCTAAAAAGGGGAATTTGTTGGGAGGACACAGCATCTCTTATGGAACCCAAGGACAGAAGTACAGCTGGGCTTCCCAAGGGACAAGGACCAAGGACCAGAAAGTCATCGTGAGACGGCCAACTCTGAGATCTCATTGTTCATGTCTACCTCTTTCAGCAGTTAGCTTCATTCTCTCTCTGCAGAGCAGTGTCCCCTGCTTCACTCACCTGCGGCCCATCATGAGGGTCCCCAAAGGTCCCATAATCTCTGAGACCACATTACCCAGTGGCCTCTCCATTCATCCCAAGACCAATTCCTGAAAGAGAAGGTCCTGGCCCAGCTCAGCTTCTAATTGGTTCTCCTGGGTCAGGTGGGCACACACCTCAGGCCCAATCAGCCATGACCTGAGAGGGTGGAGTCACATGACACCAACATGGCTGCTGAGATTCCTCCCTTTGGGTGGGATGGGATGGGAGTGCTAGGTGGGAATTTTCCAGCCTCTTTTATAGCCCTGGGGCCATTGAGGGCTCAAGAACAAGTGAGTGGCTTCTTGAATTTTCTCCTTCATCTGTCCTTTACTATTTACCTTAAGAACGAAAACGTGATGGAGAGGAAAGGGCTAGGGTCTTTCTTCTGGTTTTTACGCTTTTCTTATTTATTTATTTATTTTTGTAATCAACAGCGAGAGCTCTGATAGGTTTGACCCAAAGAGCAAACGGGAAGAGTGTGCCTTGGAAAATTTTGAAGTGAAGGTGGCCTCCTGCTTTGACACATGGTTTTAAGCTAATATAGCAGATAACCTCCTTGTCTCTCTAGGCACAATTCAGGACTCTAGCTTATAGCTAACGTTCCCAGCTAACATTTTTCTCCGCCTTCGTTTTAGACGGAGGTGAATTCACGCTCTATATTGTACATGCTAAATATTCATGATCTATCCTCTTAGTAAAAGAGAAAAATTAGAATAATTTTCTATTCGGTCATTTCCATACATAAAAAACAAATAGGGTCCTCAATGCTATTGCTGAAGTACTCCTGCCTGTAGGAAGAGTCGGAAGTGTTCAGGTGGAAGGGGCCTGGTCTCTAACGAGTTGAAGATTGTGCCCTGTGTTGGTTCCTAGGGCCACTGTAAAAATTCCTACCAACTTGATGGGTGGCCTAAAACAATAGAAACTTATTCTCTCATGGCTCTGGAGGCCAAAATCAGCATCAGCTGGGCTGAAATCAAGGTTTTCAGCAGGGCCGAGCTCCTTGAGATGCTCTAGGGAAGACTCCATCCTTGCTTCTTCCAGCTCTGGTGGCCGCTGGCGTTCCTTGACTGCATCACTACAATCTCTGTGTCCGTGGTCACGTTACCTCCTCCTTTCCTGTGTATGTTGTCTTCCCCCCGTCTCACTTATACATGCGCTTGCGGATGACATGCTGTGCCCACCTGGATAATCTAGGATAATCTCAAAATCCTTAATTGAGTCACATCTGCAAAAACTTTACCTTATAAGGTAACATTCTCAGGCTCCTGGGATTAGGGCCTGATATCTTTGGGGGCGACCATTCAGCCTACTACAAGCCTCAAACCTCTTTTTTCTCCTAAGGAAGAGCTAGGCTGGGCAGACATCCCAAAAGATAACTGCCAGGCCAGGTTGAGAGCCTTTTAAAAAAGCTGTTCCTCAGCTTGTTGGGGACCTTGCTAGTCTCTTTTTCCTCCCATCAGGAGGAGGTATAGAGTAATTGAAGAACAAGTCCAGCCCAGAGATACAAGGAGACCCACAGGCTGGCTCAGTCATGGGCGGGGACCAGACCAGCCTCCGGGTGTCTCATGCCAACAAGCAGATCCCTGCAGCTTCCTTTCAAATGGATGGATTTGCATAAGGAAAGTGAAAGGTTGGAACTTTAGGTACTGCTGCCAATCCTGAGACAAGAAGCTGATTCACTTCCTAACTGCTGCCACTCCCCTTCCTCAGGAGCCTTTAGGAAACATCCAGGGCCTGAGAATTTACTTTTCTAACCAAGCTCCTAGCCACACAGATTCCCAACAGGCCCGCTCCATGCTACCGACACCAGGGAGGCACCTTCGGACCCAGGTCTGTCTTCCCAGACTTCCACTCCACGGTCAAGAGCCTGACCCCAGACATCGCCATTCCTCTCTGCAGTCTGAGGTCTCCTGGGCGTTAGTTGAACTGTCTAAGCAACAGAACTTTCTGCTGGGCGCGTGGGTTGATGGGGAGAGACTCAGCTCTTGAGAAACACGCGTCTTCCCTCATTCAACATCTGAAAAAGCTCTTTATGCTGAGTTGGATGGCACAGTGTTTAAGGAATCGGGCCTTGGAGCCAGATGGCCTGGCTTCAAATCCCAGCTCTGCCACTTATTAGCGGTGTGACATGGGGCACCTTAATTAACCTGAGCCTCCACGAGCTAGCCTACTAAATGGGTACAGGTGAAACGGGATAACACGTGATGTGCTTAGCACAGCCCCTAGCATATATCATTTGGTACATATGAGCTGTTGTTATTATTGATATTTGTCCATAAACAAGTCAGTATTGGAAGAGCTGCTAAAATAATTCAGCACCCAATGTACTCCATATAAAATATTTTATTATAAAAGCTCAGTTGCACGGCAGTCTAGAAGGAACAGAACATCTCATACAGCAGGGGTCCCCAAACCCCTGGCCACGGACTGGTACTGGTCCGTGGCCTGTTAGGAACCAGGCTGCATAGCAGGAGGTGAGGGGCAGGCGAGTGCGTGAAGCTTCGTCTGGATTTGCAGCCACTCCCCAGCGCCAGCATCACCGCCTTAGCTCCACCTCAGATCATCGGGCATCAGATTCTCATAGGAGCACCGGTCTCTGGGGCCAAAAAGGTTAGAAACCGCTGCCATACAGCTCTCCCTTCCTGCCATTACACAGGAGAGCCTAGTTGAGTGTACCAGTCGAGACTAAGATCTCATATGTCATCAGGCCTTAGGCCCTCAAAGAACCAGTGGCATCGGGGGCTCTGAAAACCCCACCTGGGCCTCATCATCTAGCCTTTTGTTTTGCTTAATTCACAAAAATGGCTCCGTGTCCCTTCTACAAAGCTGAGTTGTATCCAAACCACGGTTCAGGACTCTAGTGAAGAAAGCAAAGGGATAACTTGTTTTTCCTTTTGAAACAAAACAGTCCAAGTGGAAGCAAAACAAAACCACAATCTGAACCAGCTGCTAGGTACCCTTTCCTAGTTAGAGAGAGGCGTGTTGTCACTAGCGATTCAGTTGAGGAAAGATGATGGGGAAGATGCCTACGCCGTCCCCAGATGGGGTCCACAGCATCATGGGATCCGAGGCAGCATCTCTTTCTGATGCACCTGCTACATGAAGTTCTGTGAATGTGAATCGCCGCCAAATCACAGGACTCCCCTGCCCCCACCCAAGTTGCTAAGCATATACCTGGCCCCTCGCTTCTCAACTGTGGCTGGAGCGGCATCACTGGGGTCTGTTGGTGCAGAGGGTGAGTGACAAGAGGGAACACGCTAGAGAAGGACCATCAGTCAGGTGGCCGGGTATTGGGGGCCTTCTCCTGGACTTCATTGTACTGTGGTGGGGGAGTCAAAGGCTCGATGGAGGGAGGGGGGACATTTTTGTCCGAGAGGTTGATCCTAAAGTCTTTGAGGTGAAGTTTTTCAGATTTAATCCTTCGAACTTTCAGTGGTTTTAGGTGTTTGGCCAACTTGGAGTTCTGCCTACTGGGTGGATTCCCCGAGCTGCCTTCCACGTCGGCCCTGGCTGTCGTGGGGGTCGTCTCGTCAAGCCCTGTCAAGGACTCATAGGAAGGGAGAGAGATGCTCATCCTCGGGCTCTGGTCTGGTTCCCTGGTTTCTGAGAAGTTCGTGTTCATCACTTCCTCGTAACTGGGGACGTAGTACCTCGAGGAGGCTTCTTCCTCCTCTTCTTGGCTGCAAGACAACAAGCAGACACGGAGGGTTAGCAGATGCTCAGTCGCTTAAAACCACAAATAGATGGACTCTAAATCCCATGTTGGCACTGGGTCCACATACACCAGGCCTGTAAACAAGAAATGGGTCCAAGAAGTAATACAAGCTAACACTTCAGCTGTTTGCTATGAGCTGGGCACTGTTCTGAGACCTTTACAGCAGTCCCCACCTTTGTGGCACCAAGGACCAGTGCTCCTATGAAAATCGAATACCTGATGATCTGAGGGTGGAGCTGAGGCGGTGATGCTAACACTGGGGAGCGGCTGCAAATACAGATGAAGCTTAGCTTGCTCTCCTGCGGCTCACCTCCTGCTGTGCGGCCCGGTTCCTAACAAGCCAAAGAACGGTCCCTGTCTGTGGTCTAGGGGTTGGGGACCCCTGCTTTAGCACATATGAACCAATTTCATCTTCCTAATAACACCATGAGTTAGGTACTATTATGATACCCATTTTATGGATAGGAAAACTGATACATGGAAGGTACCTGATTTAGTCATACCTTTAGGAAGCAGGAGGGCAAGAAATGAATGTCACATTCTCCATTAGTACACTGTATTATCTGTGTTAACACCCCTCCCCCCGCCTTTAAACATTACATTTAACAAACAACAGGCAAAGTAGGCTATTGTGATGCCCAGCTGGTCCTTTGGCCAAAGGCAACATAAATATGTAAGAAATAGCTGCCAATTTGAAGCAAAATGGTTGTCTCCAGGTAGAAGGAATATCTGAATATAAAATTTGTATGTATTTCAAATTTTTCTGTGATTTTATCTTCCAGGTTCATGATTAAGACTCAAAGAACAGGTCAGGTGCTCAGCCTTACTCTCATTGAACTGTTGAAAGAGAAAACCCAAAAGTCAGGGTGTTTTTTTAATCCTTTTATAGGGAATAATGTCAATAGCCATTTTCCAGGTCCATTATCAACCTGTGGGTTGATAATGACCAACATCAGAAACCTCACTGCTTGTCTGGGTTTTCTTCTCATCTCTTTTAGGGATGAATTTGTGTGTGCTCATGGCTGGGGCAAGTAATATGGGTGACTGACTTTTTTCCTTCTTTGTTCTTTTGTCTTTCAAGTTTTCTAGAATGTGCATGATTATCTCTTATAATCAGACAGTCGGTTTAATTTTTCCAGAACAAAAACGACTACCCTCCCACTATAAAGGTAAGACATACTTATACAAAATTTAAACAACACAGGAAAATCTAACAGAAAATAAAAACATCCCAAATCCTTCCACCCAGAGATAACCACTGTTAACATTCTGCTGAACACCTTTCCAGATCCTTCCCTAATTCCACAGCCACAACATTTGGTGTGATCAGGACCTTAACCAAAGATGCTGTGCTACCGCCTCTTATCACCATGTGGAGGACGGGGTCCCACGTCAGCAAACAGATCAGAAATGACGGCGCAGAAGGCTACTGAAGGGCACGTCATACTGTAGCTCGATTGATGGGTATGTAGGTTGTTTCTCAGGTTTTGCTGTTCTAAGCAATGCTCTGATAAGCACGTGGGTACAAACCCCTTTGCACCTGTGCTACCATCTCCCAAGGATAAGCTCTTAGGACTAGAATCGATAGGTACACACATCTTTGATACTGCTTCTTACTGTGAAACTCCCCTTA